GCAAACTGATTCCTAAAACGAGAGCACTTGGTAATTGCGTCAGTTTGCCTCAAAGGCTTGGCTGTCATTTACGAAAGCCGAACTTGTGCACGTTCCCCACGTACTTCCTCCGTATTATATGCTCGAGCATGATTCCAGGTTAGTCTTCCGAAGTGCCCCAATACGATGCCTCGCTAGAGGGTGCATACGAAGCGAGTTCTACTTAAATTTGAAGGGCGATTCTAACAAGAAAAGGGACCCAACTGTCCCCCTTCAATCTTTAATGAACCTTTGGTATGTTGTTCTTCAGACAAAAATAAACAACACATATTTTTTTTATATGTGCTCATACGCACTTTTAAGGGGTGAAATAGCCTTTAGAAGAAAATCGGTTTTTCTCTTTCGAAGTGGATATTGTCGAAACTGGTAGAAACAATTTTTCTGAACGAAAATTGAATGAATTCAAGAGTCCTTTAGAACTACAATAAAAAAAAATTTTTTTTTAAATAAAAAAAATTATTTATTTATAATAAAAATTATTTATTTATAAAAAAATTTTTTTTATTATTTCTAAAGTACTCTTGAATTCATTCAATTTTCGTTGAGAAAATTTTTTTCTATCTCTTACAGTTTCGACAATATCCGCTTCAAAAGAGAAAAATCGATTTTCTTTTAAAGGGTGCCTTATAAAAAAAACCTTAAACCTTTTAAAAGTGCGTATGAGCACGTATAAAAAAATACGTGTCGCTCATTTTTGTCTGGAGAATAACATACTAAGTTCATTAAAATCGGAGGAGGACAGTTGGGTCCCTTTTCTTGTAAGTACGGATATTGTGCACGTAGGTAATCGTTGCATGACGACCGAAACTCTTAACGTCGCAATGTGCTTTCCGTTATCTTTTTTTACGTTTCTCTCATCCATCAGGTGGTTGCTGACAATAAAGAAGTCGAAGTTCTTTTGTCCCGTGATGGTTCTCATAGAACTATTTTCTTTGAAAAACAATGCTTTATTCAAGAAAGCGGAAACTTCTTTAGATAAGACTTCAGGTTCAGTTGATTTAGTTTCGGGTCCATTCCGAGTGATCAAAGAGGAAGGTCTGAAAAAACAGTGCAGTGTTGCGATATTACGAGCACATTGACTATATATGTCTCATCTTAAATTATACTTTAATAATATAATATATATATATATATGCGCTTTTTATTTTCTTGATAAAAGTTTGTGTTTTTTTTCAAGGTTTTTTTTATATATAAAATTATAAAATGAATATTTAAATGAGAATTTTTGACATTAAGTCATCGGCAAATATAGAAATTTATCAAGAGACCATTACGCGTTGCAAGCAAAATTTTTTTACAGTAAAATATAAAAGGATAGAATATTTGAATTATTTTTGGTTGAAAAAGTATCATTTAAATATATAAATTATGAAACGTTTTACTTAAAATTATATTAACCCAAAAAGAGAATAATAATAATGAAATCTATCTATATTTCTTATACCTATAAGGGCTTCTTAAATTAAGAAATATTTTTATATTTGGAATAAAAAGTGTGATTAAACATGTTAGAAATATTAAAAATATATATAACATTTTGCATATATTTTAAAAAAAGATTTTAAGAGAGGCTCTCTTGGATCCATCAGTGCATCAAATAATTAAAATTTATTAAATAATTTTCTTTCTTTATCTCTTTCTCTTCTTCGAATAATATTATCGATAAGAGATAATTTGGTATACATGGTGGGATTTATATATTCAACGCTCGCATCGATCACATTTTCCGAAGTCAAGACGGAGTCACGTTGACTCGGTGTGGGCGAATATTACATGCCGTATATATCGTTGACGTCGTAGTGACTTATCGGATTGACTTGTACGAGCTTGTGTAGTATCGATCGTTCCTCATGCTCGAAGTATCAGGACGTGGACGTTGATGACGACGCCGGTTTGTCATCGCCGTTGCCATTGTCGGCCCCCGCCGCCGATGGGACTGCGTACTTGGCGTCGTGATAAAGTAATCTGAATTAATTTGTCCCTAATTAATTAATGCAAATCACCGATGCGGATCAATCCGCCGAATTAATGATGATCATTTACACGGCACTGGACTCTCTCGAATGCACAGGATAGTGAGATAGCTTAAGGATCTTCTTCCTTTCTTTTCTCTCTTTTTTTTTCCAAGACTGGCAGGTAGCTCACATGTGTCACACATAAGAAATATTTTCGGCGAACGAAGGACGCTGGCGAACGAAGAGAGATCGCGGGAAGAGGTTGAACTCTTGACATATTGCTGTCTAGGCAACTCAACGAAGTGCTCTTCAAGTTCTTCCCGTCCACATCTATCTTTGTTGCTGTGCTTCCTCCTTCACTCCTTTTCGCCGCATCTTTGTTATCCTCTTCTCAACTCCTCGCGGACTCTTCCTTACAGGCGTGCTGTCAGTCTACATCGTGGTGTTGCCGAGTACCTAGTTGGAAGGTACTCGCTGAAGCGTACGCGATCGTCGCACGTACGTGCGACGTCGATCGTATTCGAATTTGCCGGAAAATTCTTCTCGCGTCGCAGTTTGAGATAATAAGTTGAAGTGTGCGCGCGAGTGCACGCACGCACGCACGCACGCACACACACACACACACACCACACATCACACACACACACACACACACACCATCACACACACACACACACACACACCACACACCACACACACACACACATCACACATTCCACCGTTCTTTCTGTGTGTATTTCCTATAGCTTCCTTTTGGAATTCTCCTTTTTAATTTTAGAACGCTAAGCTCACAGCTCGCGAAATGACATTGAAAGCTTTCCGATAATTCTTAAAAAAACATTTAACGAAACGTGCGAATCAGGAAAAACGTGTCCAAGTATCTAAATGTCTTTGTATTCCTCCATGAAAGGCATGAAACATAGCATTGTGATAAATTGTTGATTGAATAATAGTTTCAGCAGTTGTGTGTATATAATTTTCTGTAATTGCCAGGGAAACAATCTCATTGTTAGTACAATTCGTACAAATTATATGTTTTATGGACATATTCTGTTTGACAATTTTATTAAGTGACTAATTTTACTCACACAGTTTTGAAAATTAATAATCATTGTAGAAAGTTGTGTACATTTTTTAATCTATATAATAATGAAATAATTTTGTACTGAATATGCAATATTATTTCATTTAGGATTAAATAAGAAAAAAAAGTTATCATGCAAAAACGAATCGGACAGTTATCTGCATTTATTAAAAATATATATCACATGATATTAACCACTACTATAATAAAAATTTCATTCCTTAAGGCAAAGTTTGACATATGTACAGTCAATTCAATACTGATTGTGAGTCACGTTCACTTCGCACGCAGTGTTCAGCACGAAGTAGGTTGACAGGCACTTATCTTCTTAGGTCTCAACGGATTCGTCATCAAACTAAAATAAAGTTTATACTTTGACATCAATTTTTAAATCTAGATTCTTACAATAATAATTAAAGTTTTCTGCTTTCGTGTGTGACATTATATTCTCGCAAAATAACAACATCTTCAATTCTACATTATTTGACAATGTCATTGATCCTCATCATGATTTTCAATGTAACGCGGGAATGGGCAGCAAAGTGTTATCGATGAGAGTTTGCATAGGCATTGTTTTGTAGTTTGCTATTAAACGCCATCCATCACTCTCTATCTTGATGAAATATTCTACTAGTTCCTATTCACAGTGCAAACTACTTGACTCGAGCGGTAGTTCGCTAATTGTGAATCCTCATTATATCCAATACACAACAATTGCTTATAAGAATGCACATGATAAGTAATTTATTGAAACAATTAATCTTATATAAAATATGCCGCCTTAATTTGAGTCATTCATTTTTTTGTTGTAATCATACTAGAATATATTACGAAATGTTCTTCCATTTTACAGATTTGTGTATCATTACTTTTAACTTATCTCGTATTTAAAACAAATTATTTAACTAATGCTAGATATATATCTAATGTAAATATATATATATATATATATATATATATATATATAAGTTACATGGAGCTAAAATGCAAAAATATAATATCATAAAAAAGAATGTCGCATATTATAACAACATTATAAATTATGAATGCACATATATATGAATGCACTTCGTGAAACAAATTTGTAAGTTTGAAAACAATAATTTTTAATTTATTTTATGTTATTTTATTTTATCGAAATACGAATTAATATTTAAGACAAATTAATAAACATTTACAGAGAAAAATTTTTTTTTTTTAAAATATATAAAAGAAGCAGGAGAATTACAACTACTTTTTAATCGTCTACGTATACTGGCAGATTAATTTTGTTACACTTTTTACGTTCGCATCTATTCAATTTAATTTAACATTACTCAGATTCACGTAGATTTGCATAAGAATATAACCCGAGGCAATAACCCGATCCAGCGACAGAAACTTGGAGAGGAATTTCTCTCTGTAAAACCGACGAGATTTCAAACCTTGCGGAGCAGAACGGATACAATTGTTCTAAATACTTGTCGTATTTATTTGATCTAGAACGCACTTTTTAATTCTGTTTTATGCGAATCGCTCACCGTAAAAATAACGCTCGAGCAAGGATAATTGCGAAATAAGATATGTCGCACGTTGTCTAGGTTACTTTATAGTTTGCGTGTCTTTCGCTTCTATAATCAATCTCACGCCGCTTTATACATTCCAATTAGCTTGGTAACCGGCCGACTTCCTATAGGTAATTTCCTATTAATATCCTCGTCACTGGCCGCACGCGGTGACCTGGATCGATAAGTTTCAAGATACTTTCGCGCTTTGGAAAGATAAAATTTTTGCGCACATTCGTTCTCTCGATCCTTAATAAAGCACATCGTACAAGCGCACTACTTAGTCTCCAAATATTCCTTCGCAGTGTCGAGTTACAAATAGACGTTGCTCGTAGTACTTTTATCGTCAAAATGAGAACGCTACTTTTCTGATTGCAGGTGGTATGGATGTGCGTACTTTGCAAGAAGAAGCAGGAACTTCTTTCGAAGACCGGACAATGGATGACGAGGCCGGGCCTCGCCGTGGACAACGCGATGATGCGGCAAATGCAGGAAGACTTGCAGGTGGGTGGTCGTCAGGGACTCGCGGACCAAACTCGGGATAAAAGACCGAAACTCGAGAGGGCGCACAGCGCGGCTGAGAAAGAGAATTTGCCGTTATTACAGAGAAGCGGAAACTGTCCTCTCAGGAGACAGTACTCCCAGCAAGAGCAGGTAACGTTCTCCTCGCTCGCCCGATATTCTTGTCGGAACGCACTCTTTTATTTACAAGGCAGATATACTTTTGCGCACGTAAATGCTCGGATGCTCTTATATTCATAAATATGTAACGTTGCACCGTGATAAGTTCGCAATAATTCGCACATTTGATATCTCCGCGATTTATTTATTTACGAACGGAAGAAAAGGTCGAGGCGTTCCCGTCATAACCGAAGAGAATTATCAGCCCGCGCCCTCGCGATGTACATTGCACGGAATACTCAGTGAGTCTCGTTCCTGTGGTTGTAGATCTCGGGTCGCCGGATGTCCACGAGCGACAGTGGGGTAGAAATGTCTGTTTCACCTCACGCGAGAACTTTACCGACACCGCACGTGGTTGGGTCTTACCCGATGCAACAAATTCCGAGGCATCCTGCAGCCTATCCTGACGACGATCCCAATTTATATCGAGGCGAGCTTGACGGTCTGATGAAACAACATCCGCAGAACTATTCGAGACAACGATTGACTTATCAAGTAAGAAAATCGATAATTTCGAATCGGAATAGTTCCGAACCGATAATTTTAATTCTTATGAAAATTATGGAATATATGTGCAGCCGCATTAAATTCGGCGAGCTAATTTTATTTTCTTTACCTTGGAAAAAATATTTCATATATAATATTATAATATATAGGTATAATTATATAATTGTATAATTATATAAAATTATACAAAATTATAATTAAATAAA